CGAAATTGTATCCGGTTATAATCGGTGCATGACTGCTCTTTCGGATGAATAGTTTAGTTAATCGAAGAGTCCGCAGAAGTAGCCATAGGTCCCATGTGTGAGTCTTAGTAATGTGATATTATTTCATATCATCAACAGAAAAAATAAAGTTTATTTAGAGCCACGGAAAAGTGTTTTTCATATTCAGCACACTTGATAGCCCAGAAGATTTTCTAGTTTGGCGAGGGGTACCACCAAAACTTTAGGAAAAATTTTGAAACTAATATTATTTTCCCTCAGACATTGTTTTTTGCCATTCTGCTCAGAAAATTTTCCTAAACTTTTAGCAGTACGCCTAGCCAGAATTAGAAAGTCTTCTGGGTTATCGAACGAAAAGCACTTTTTCGTGACTCTGAATGAACTTTATTTTTTTCTTAACGTTGACATGCCTTCATGTTTAGAGTAAGATGATGATCGTGGTTTATATGGCTCAATAGTTCTGAACATCAACGCCGTAAGTGGCGGATCCTGACTTCGGCTCTGATCAATCCATCCGTTCAAAGTTTTATCTCATTCGACGATCACTTACATAGTTGTGCATCAGACAATGTGCTTGCTAAAATTAGTCCTTTTAATTCATTTGGATGTTTTAATGCATAATATTGTGCAACAATGCCACCCCAAGAATGTCCTAAGATATATACTTTATCGAATTTAAGATGTAATATTACTGATTGTAATTCTTCTACGTAATATTCTGTTGTTAACAAATGGGATGTGTTGATTTCAGTATTGTTTGATACGCTTGATTTACCACAACCAATTTGATCGTAGAACACAACTTTCCGACCATAACACGCTAACTGTTTTAACGGTAACATATAGGAATGCGTGACTGCTGGACCACCATGTATTGTTATAAGAGGATGACTCAGCAGATGAATATTAGGACTTCATAAGAACAAAAAACGAAAAGAAGGATAAGAAAATGTAATGATGTACATACTTACTCAACTGGCTCATAAATGATATAGGTCAGTGCTAATCCCCTTATTGTTAATGTTCCAGAACTTTCTTTTAATTCACATAAATTAGGTGTGATTTGATCGCATGTGTAAGTATGTTCTGAGATAATGAGTAAAAGGGAGAGACTAAAGACAAGGAGAGAAATGAGGACAGAAAGATGAGGCATTGTTATGATATGATTCTAAAACAAACGTATGCGCAGAAACGACAATAAGAGGTTAAGGCTGGAAGTCCTATCGATGACAGTTACCTGTCTGAAAGTAGAGCATTGGATGGTAGAGCAAGACTATATTT